GGGAGGTATGCATTTGTTTGATCTTTGAAGTCTAGCCCACAGCAAGAGTGCCTGTCTTCCCCACAAGCTGCAAAATATCTAGTCTTCCTTTCTGTTTCCTTTGAGGGCCTGGCCCTGTCTGACTGCCTGTAATATTTCTGTGTCACTCAGCTGCCTGTGACAAAGGCACCCTGTGTGATGCACGTGAAGGCTCGGGCCCACCCGGCCCTTGCTGTACTGGAGATGAGATACGGTATAAACGTGCTCTTCGCACCATGTCATCAAAGTTTTATGAGAACTTTTCAAACTTGAGCTGTGCTTTAATAAGCTTAAATTTTAAGTAAAATCTTTGGCCTCAGAATATCTACATAAAATACCAAAATTTAAAAAAAAAAAATGAAGTTAAATATACAAGAAGAAAACTTTTTCAAATAGTCACATTTTACTTTTATAGTTAAGTTGAAAATGAATTCTTAAAAATATACTTTCAGTGATTTATATTTCTTCACATCTGTATTATAAAATTGCATTTATCTACCAGAATATTTTATTAGTTTGTATCATATTTTAAAAAGTCTAAAAAATCTGTCTCGTCTTGAATGTTCCCTAATAAGTGAGTTTCTTAGCCTTTTATCTATATCCTTAGAAATGCAATGACCGCAGGTTTTCTCTTTGCTGGCAGCTGCCATGGGTCCAACAGTCAGATAGGATTAATTTTAATGCTGCCCTTTTTTATATTAGAGTTCATAAGTGTTATTTTGGCTTATTTCAAGTAGTGTTCTTAATTTTTCAAGGCAATATTATTCTAGATAAATAATGTATTGAGCCAGTTTGGTGTTATATATCTATACTTAGCAGAAGGGTCAAATACACATACATTTCTTTCTTAAGTTTGTAAATAAGTATACAGAATTCCAAGGTTTGTTGAGAAACCTAATCCCATGAATTAAGGCCCATAGTTAACTATAGGTAACATTTTGTGCCAGATTTTAGTGGAAATAACTTTGGGCAAACTTTTAATTTATTTTACTGTTACTGCCTTTGAAATCACAAAATAAGTTGGACCTGTGATGTGAAACTACTCAGAACAGGTGCACTTGGCCAGTGCGTGTGGCCTTCCTTCGGTGGAGGCATAGCTGAGAACCGCACCTGGAGACTCGTTGCTGTTAGCTCCAACCCCACGTGTGCTGCTGCGGAAGGAGCAACTCTAAGGTTCTGGTTAGAGCAGCAGCTTGTGGCCGCTGGGCCTTGAAGGAGTGAACTTGCAGCCTGGGCCCATCCCAGGTAGGAGCAGAGCTGCCCTGGGAAGGAGGCTCCCGGCAACTGCATAGAATGGAAAAGGAAGGCACTGGGGAAGACAGAAGCTGTGTAAAATACGCGTTTCCACTGTGCTGGTTATTGTAATCGGAAGAGTAAGGATGTACATTGGTTGGTTGTAAGCACTACAACATTTTCCATGAAGGGCTTGGCTAGCATGGATGTTGATATCCATGGGAACCAGAGCCTCACAGATACTGAGAAGTGACTATATTTTTTTGCAGATGTTTACATATGGAATAATAATTTAATCATAGTTTGCCACTTTATATGCACTAAATACTTCTTTCTTTTTTTAGATATTAAAGAAAGATTCACAAATTATGTGCTTTTGCTAATAGTGTGTTTAAGAAATATGGAACAATTTTCTTGGAATCCAGGTAACTAGCTCTTAACAAATACAATGTCTTGTGGTTTTACTCTTAAACCAAGTTACTCTTTCACATGAAGTAAATTGAGTACTACAGAAAATTCCAAACGATTGGCTGCCCCTGTGTCTGGGTGCTGGAGATCCCGTTTCAGGGACAGTATGGAGCCCGCTCTGGTACAGCAGGCTGTGTGGCATCCCTGGGTGCGCTCGGTGCGAGAAGCAGGGCCTGCCGGCACCGCAGCTCCGGCCTCTGTAACTGTAGCCTGCCATTCCTTAGTGCCCACACTCAGGCAGATCATTTTCGTTTTAGGGGATGAGTGGAAGAATTTGTGCTCCTTTCTAACACTTACCTTCTACCCAGCCACCAAGTATTTGTACTTTAACTGTGGGTAAGTTAAAAAAATAGAATGTAAAAGAGTAAGTTTTAGAACTTACATGCATGTGTGAATCGAGGCAACAGGAAGTTCTCAGAACTCGTGTTTTCATCCATTCGTTTGGCAGACGCGCACAAAGCATGTGTGATGTGTCAGGCACCCAGTGAGGCAGGATGTGAAAGGAAGGCACCAAGCCGCTGCAGGCTGGTGGGAGGTGTAGGTAGTAAGTCCACGTGAGCCAGGTGGACGGTGAGCGCTTTCTC